AAGTTCCTCGAAGTTCAAAATAAATGTTGAAGTTCCCCAAAGTTCAAAATAAATGTCGAAGTTCCCCGAAGTTCAAAATAAATCTGAGAAGTTCACTGAAGTTCAAAATATTTTAGTACATATTTACGGCTGCACTTGGTCACTTTTGAGTGCTTACTATAAGCGAGTCTCGAGCTTACTTAAAGCAGGTATCTACGGTCCGAATTAGAAAGATTACAGAGGAACAATTTTGCTTTCATATCTCTTGACCAGGTCGAAGTGCGAGAACTTCAGTCGAAGTTCCGCGAAGTTCACCGAAGTTCTCGGAGTTCACCGAAGTTCGACGAAGTTCAAGGAAACGTACACCGAAGTTCAAGCCTATTTCCCCTTGGACGAGAACGACAGCAAGCTGAACAATATGCGATATTTACGCTTACTCTTCGTGTCTTGTTTTTAATTTCTAGCTCAGTTAGTATTGATTTAAACAGGGAAGTGTAAGTACTTTTTTCACATCAACTTGATTCACTACCCTCTCTGGTGTTCGATCCAGGCAATTTGCTCCCGATTGGCAAAATAATTGTAGTCCCGTCGTCCATTATCTTAAATGCACAAAAACAATTATGATTACAGGACAATGATAAAAACATAAACATAACCTATGCACATGATAGCAATTAAAAACTTACACATTTTAGACTTCGACTAGAGTAAGAGCTCTAAGAATTAAGAAACTGTAAACAGACGTTTTCTGGATAGGAACCTCTCGGTTTACGAAACAGAATAAGAAACAGTAAACAGACATTTTCTGAAGAGGAACCTCTCGGCTTACGAAATAGAATCAGAATCTGAAGCAAGTGTCACAAGGTTATGGTATGGCGGCAATCTAATGATGGAAGGCGTTGGGGTGCGTAGCTCCGAGCTGCCGCCAATCTACACAGCAGTACGAACGGACCAAGCAGAGCGCAGCTTCCCCCACTCCCGCGCGCTACCACGCGCACCGTGCGCAGGGCGCGCCAGGCGAGCGGCCGCCGTACCGCCGTACCGGGGAACCTTGTCGTAATAGCCCTACTGATGCGGACTGCGGTGCGTCTCCACCGGCTGCCAGACTAGAACTGACTGCCGTTTCGACTACCTCGCTGCGCCGAGCCGCGGCCGCTCTCCCCCTCCCTCTGCGTCTGCGCTTCGGACCCAATCGGAGCGCAGCTAGCAGGGCGAGGGGTATGGGGGGAGGGTTCGCTCGCTTCTCTAAGATGCATGCCGTGTTTACGCCGGCTTCAACAACAACAACAACAGCAGAGCTGCTGCGGAGCGAGGTACCTGCTTTTTGCCGACAGTTTTGCGGAAATCCTGCGTGATTTTCGTTTCGTTTTGGGTGGGGCCGGCTTGCTATCTCCCCTGCGCAACTTGCACACAGACATGGGATGGAGCCAGCGTGTAATCTCCCCTGCACTTTCGTTTGGCTCGATCTGACAGTAACTCTGCCAGACCCAAGCAAGATACGTCTTTCTTTCTCTGACGAGCCCGAGGGTCGGGCTTCGTCAGTTCTTCGATGGTACACGCCTCTCACTTGCTCGATACGTGCATTTTTTGAACACTGTCATCGTGAGGTCTGACGTGTATCCCTGTTTGCACGTTAGTGTGCGTTGTGCAGCACGGCGCTCTGCGGCGCTCTGCGGTGCGCTGGTGCCTGGCCGTGCACCCGTGCGTGCGGCGGCACTGACATGCACGCTCAGTTCTGTGTGCGTGTTCTGTTCTGGGCGCATGCATGTATGGCCTAACCGGAGCCGGTTTCTACCATTTCAATGGCGCAGTTAAGGAGCAAATTGCAGGGAGCGGACGATGCATTTCGCTGACGAGAGCTGCGCTGTGCCCCCGTCTGCCCAAGCCTGCCTTTGCCAGGCGGTCCATATGCACTACGCGTGGTTTCCTCCCTTCTTTTGTGATATGGGCCGTGATGTCGTTGATCATATTTATGATCTCTGCCAATCAGGGTCCCACGGTCTTTTCGGTTTCGGGTTCAAGCCCCTTTTCCGCTGAGGGTTGAAAAGCCATACTTTATCCCCCTCCTCGTAGGGCGTCACACCCTTGCTTTGGTGTCGTAGCGCACTTTCATCTCATGAGAGGCGCGACGCAAGTTTTCAGCCGCCTGGTGGTGCAGGTCGCGTAGTACCTGTCTGAGCTCAGACGGGTATCCGCTGAGCTGCTCTGCAGTGACCCCCGGTGGGGCGCCCGTGCACAGGTCCACGGGCAGCACCAGGCGCCGGCTGTACAGCAGCTTGGCCGGGCTGTACTTGTATTGGTCGCGCTGCGCTGCCGCTCTGAACGAGAGGAGGATGGGCAGAAGGAAGTCGGGCCACTTACGCTGTCCCTTATCGACAAATTTCGATAATTTGATGGACCTGATCGGTCTCTCCGCCCTTCCGTTCGCGCTCGGCCTGAGCGCGGTCGTCCTGGTCCTTTGAACGTCGAATATTCGTAGGGCCTCAGCGAGCAGCTTGGATTCGAACGCTCGGCCCTGGTCCGTGCGCAGCACCCTGCACGCCCCGTATCGGCTCCAGATCTCCACCAGCGCACGGGCCACAGATTCTGCGTTGCACCGTTTCATGGGGATTGCCTCTGGGAAGGATGTTAGGGCCTCGACACAGACTAGCACGTACTCGTAGCCCTCGGCGGAGCGCGTGAACGGCCCCGCAGCTAGGTAAAGTTATTAGGCTTTAGTTCAGCCTATAGCCATTCGTATAGCTTTAGCCGTTCGGAATATTGCATTTCGACTTAAAGTTCCCTGCTCAGAGGCTAGCAAAGCTGAACATGAAAAACAAGGCATGCGGTGCCGACTGGACTGCTGACCCTGCCGACCCTTGGTAGTGAGAATATCTTCCTCTTCTCGCTCCGCGGAACAAATTAAGGAATAATGAAAGCATAATATCTTGTGTGTATATTGGATTTTAATTCAGATTACTATAACCCGACCGAAAATGATTGTTCGCTAAACGTTTGCTGTTTATTCGCTATCGGTACGCGGAGGGTCGCGGAAGGGACGCTAACGGGTCGTCAGGGATCGTCACTGTCCTCGTGGAGGACTGAGCTCGAGTCGCCATCGGGTCGCGGTGTTCGCTCTGAAGCGACTTCAGTTCGCATTTTGGTCGTCATATTCGCTTCGAAAGCGACTCGAGTACGCCCTTTGTTCGCCCGGTTCGCCCGAAAGGGGCCGTGGTCATCGGGTTATTTTCCTTCCTAGGAAACCCCGGCCGGGCGCTGGCGCTAATCCCCAGACCAGCGCACTTGCGAGCATGGGGCGGCCCCGGGACCCCCGGCCCCGGAGTACCTGACGGCTCCTCCGCACTGCACATTGCACACTTTGGCAGCTGGACACAGCGATGACGCCAGTCTACGAGTCACGGTGCTACGAGTGCAAGTCGCAGAGAGGACGCACTCGTAGAGAGAGGACGTAT